TGAAGGAGAACTGAGTTGATGTGAGAGAGAGAGAGAGAGAGAGAGAGAGAGAGAGAGAGAGAGAGATGCTGAAGGAGAACTGAGTTGATGTGAGCTATGTATATACTTATATGGAGAGAGAGAGAGAGAGAGAGAGAGAGAGAGAGAGAGAGAGAGAGAGAGAGAGCTGTTTCGCCGAGTTGTTCAGCCTCCTCAATCCTGATGAGTCGGTGAAACGTTGACGAGATAGTTTATCACAGCCCCTCGTTTGTTGTCCTGGTCTCGTCGTTATCGACCATCGCGGAGACCTGGTGTAGTGCTCCGGTCGAACTGTGGGCTCAGATCTACGTAGTCGTTCGTTGTCGACCAGTCCACAGACCTGGTCTACTTGGCCGTTGCTGATCAGCGCACAGACCTAGTCTACGTGGTCGTTGCCGACCAGCGCACGCCGCTCAGACCTGGGCTACCTAGTCGTTGCCGACCCGGGCGCAGACCTGGTCTAGTCGTTGCCGACGATGGCAAAGACCTTGTCTAGTCGTTGCCGACCAGCGCCCAGACCTGGTGTAGTCGTTGCCAACCAGCCCGCGGACCTGGTCTACCGTCTTCACGCGAATAGAATGGCCGGCGGTCATTATCGCTGCATCTGGACTGAAAGTTGTGCCAAATACAGCTAGAATGACCAGGCGTTCTATTTGGGTGAAGACGGTAGTCGTTGCCGACCAGTCAGCAGACCCGGTTTCGCCTGCGGACGAACGTTGCACAACTGTGGTTTAGTCGCTGCGCAGCAGCGCACAGACTTGTTGCGCTCAATTAGGTAACGTTGAAAGGACGATTGGAGTTCTTAGGCTTTCGTCGAGACCTTGCCTTCTGTCGAGATGTTCATCCGTTCAACGATCGGTTGATGATGGTCATTAGATGATGACTAAATTGATCAGGATCGAAGGTAGAGGAGTATTGAGGAATATCTACGAGCAGTTTAGTGGAGGAGGATCGCTACGTTGTTGTAAGTTTAGAATTTTGTCGAGTCTTTTCAAATTGCATACGCTTCGCCGATTCCATGATCGGTCGACGACGACCGCCAGATTACGAAGTAATCGGGTTGGAGGTATAAATTGAGCGAGCATCATTGAGTAGGGGAGAGAATTCAAGGAGAGACAGATGGGTTCTTGGGGGTTCTCGGGGGTGCCTGGGTATTTCTCGACCCTGACCCATAGATCAGTTAGTAGTTTAGTCTCCTCTTTCCTTGTTTCTCAAAATTCAAATTTCCATTTCTTACTCAAAATTCAAATTTCCATTTCGTACTCAAAATTCGAATTTCCATTTCTTACTCAAAATTCAAATTTCCATTTCTTACTCAAAATTCAAATTTCCATTTCTTAGTCAAACGGAGGCCGGGGTCCTCTAGAATGGAACCGGTTCTAGTTTAGTGCCTTCGATGGACGAAGGAAGAAACGTGGATGGCACAGATAAATGCCTAGAAGCAATCCTCGGCGATCACCAGAAGCGGCTTTGCGGATGTCATTCACTTGAGCACGGGGCCGGATTGAATTCCGATCTTTCGACGTTAGAGCAAGGAACAGGTTGTGATTCCGTTTATAAACCAGGAATAGACTTGGTGAACACAGGTGTGCATGCAAAGGATCGTCATCCATGGTCACCGGGTGATTAACCATGCATGGCGATCAGTCGCGAGGGCCAGCTTTGCGGTTCGAATCGACATAAAATCGATCTGTCGATGACTGCCGTCCGATCAGCAGATCGTCTGGATGGGTTCGTCCTGCTAACTGATCGGGCTGACAGAAAGCGTGTGTGTGTGGGTGGGTGTGGGTGTGTGTGTTTGCGTTGTCGCCATACACAGTTCCACAGGGAAAGCAATGACTGTACCAGACTGTTTAGTCGGACTGTCGCCGACTCGTCAGGAGGTCGAACCCCGGCAGTAAGCCGAGTGTGTGTGTGTGTGTGTGTGTGTGTGTGTGTGTGTGTGTGCATGCGTGCGTTCGTGCGGGCGTGGTCGGTGTGTGCTTTTTTTTGTGTGTGTGTGGATAGGTGTGTGTGGGTGTGTCACCGTGTGCGGATAGGTGTGGGTGTGTGGATTTGCCACCGTGTGCGCGCCGACTGTGCCAGGCTGTTTAGCCGGACTGTCGCCGACTCGTCGGGAGGTTGAACCCCGGCAGTAAGCCCAGTGTGTGTGTGTGTGTGTGTGTGTGAGTGTGTGTGTGTGTGTGTGTGTGTGTGCGTGCGTGCGTGCGTGGTGGGTGTGTGCTTTTGTGTTTGTCTGTGTGGATAGGTGTGTGTCGCGGTGTGTGCGCGCCGTAAGCTGACGATTGTGTGTGTGTGTGTGTGTGTGTGTGTGTGTGTGTGTGTGTGCGTCCGTGTGTGCGTCCGTGTGTTCGTCCGTGTGTGTGTGCATGCGTCCGTGCGTGCGTGGTGGGTGCGTGCTTTTGTGTGTGTGTGTGTGGGTAGGTGTATGTGGGTGTGTGCACGCCGTAAGGTGACGATGATGGTTATTTGAAGTCTGCATGAGAACATAGATCAATCATTCAACGGCCTGAAGGATGTGTGCACATTGGCCGCGTGAGGATGGATCGTGGGTTTTCCCCTCCTTGCAGAGACGTTGGGGGATATCCGCAAACAAGACTATCATGATGTAAACAGTATTTGGAGGTTGGTCGGTGGATGTGTGTGCTTGAGGGCCACCCTACTCATCTCGGTATGTCCCCTGGGCAAGGATGAAATGCATAAATCGAGAGATTGTCCACTTGCTTTTGAAAAAGGAAAAAAGAAGTGGCCCTGTGTGCCATAATGCCATTCAGTCACCGAAGGCTTCCTCACTCGGATCTGTGAATCTATTATGAGCAGGGGCGTTGAGAACTGAGAGCGATGATTGTGTTCGGTTTTGTCGAGAATGATGATTGTGTTCGGTTTTGTCGAGAAAGATGATTGTGTTCGGTTTTGTCGAGAACGATGATTGTGTTCGGTTTTGTCGAGAACGATGATTGTGTTCGGTTTTGTCGAGAACGATGATTGTATTGGAGCGATGATTGTGTTGGGTTTTGTCGAGAACGATGATTGTGTTGGGTTTTGTCGAGAACGATGAGTCGACGAGTACCTCGTTGCGAGGATGAAAGAAGACAGTCCGAAGGGTTATGAGAATTTAAAGAGGAAAAAAGCAGTTTGTGCTGTCGATCATTTTGCTGCTGGCATTTGATGTTGTACACTGTACAGGTCGTTTAACAGGACGATGACAACATGGGTTCTAGTATCCTGTCAGCTTGAAACCACCAGTGGCCCAGGGATTCGTAGGCACCCTCTGACGCAAATGAATGTAGACCCGCGCGGCGCACCGGTTCAGCCTCCGCGTTTACGCCTAAAAACGCGGCAGGTACTGGTGGTATTTTCGTACTTATATTGTCTGCTAACCGGGGTATTGTCGCGATTGGTACGTGTGATGCTCTTTTTGGATGACGGCTACAGGAGCCCCTCGGGAACATCATCAATACATCATTCTACGCCGAGGGAGAAAAAGGTTATATCTCCGACGCATACAACGTAGCAACGAGCGGGCGAGAGAGAGAGAGAGAGAGAGAGAGAGAGAGAGAGAGAGAGAGAGAGAGAGAGAGAGACAGAAGGGAAACTTGCAGCAACACATGAAGAGGACGGAGGAGAGGTCGCTGAGGATCACGAATACTACAAGACAATGAGTGCTGTCGTTGCAGTGTCGTAAGTTCGGTGGATAACGAGAAACCGTTGTGCGTGTGTCGTTTGCTTGGTATCCGTGCACGGAAAGCACTCTCTCTCTCTCTCTCTCTCTCTCTCTCTCTCTCTCTCAGTTTATCGATCGAACGCTTCCCCTTGGGAAAGAAGAAGGGTCAGGCTGTGCGCTCGATCTGGATGCCAAAGGCAAGCTGCAGCGCAGACTCTCGCTCTCGTCGTCCCTCTTCTACTCAACATACAAAATTCCATACGCATTCGGGTCCGGAGTCCATAAATATATATAATAATATAATAGTTATTACTGGTCGTTGTACTCTTGTGTATAATCGAGTCGTCTCTCTTTCTCTCTCTCTATATGTATATCGTCAAAAAGAACTGCCCGGTAAACCGTCGGCAGACATATCGCCCGGTGAACTGTAGGTTATATATATCGTCACAAACAGAGCTGCCCGGTAAACCGTAGGCAGATAGAGAGAAGAGGACAACAAACGAGGGGCTGTGTATATATATACTCTGTTTGACGATATATCAACATTCTCTCTCTCTGCCTACGGTTTACCGGAAAGTTCTATTTGTGACGATATATATATAATATAAATAATATAATATGTATATTTTATTTATATTTATGTAACACCAATAAGAATAATCATACAGGTGAAAAACATTATATATATATATACGTAGTGCCATATATATTATACGGTAGTTTATATTATACGCTAGTCTACACTGCCACGATATATACGAATATATACGTAATATATATATATCGTCACAATAGACATACCTGATCATGGGGTTGGGTTCGGTAGCTGCTGCCGTCGCGCGTACGGGTCGGCTTTCCGCCGCCTCCGCCGCCTGTCGCAGTCAGTGTGGTGGATTGCTTCGCCAGTTTGCTCTCTCTCCTCGATGGTGCTTCGCGGCTCACTTCACGGGCGGTACGTACCCTGCTGAAGCTCCAGCAATGGGTCAAGGCAGCTCTGCTTTGCATCGAAAACCGCCGTCTGCTGCCAATTACACAAGCGAGACCGGTCGGGATCGCGTTGTGGAGGCCTCCCTCACCATGGTCCGCGAGCGGGCAATGCTAAAAGCGGAAAGTGTGCGACGTGCCGGTGGTGCCAAGGCCACGTCATGCCTACTTGGTGTCCCCCTGGGACACAACTCCTCGTTCCTGCAAGGCCCAGCCTTCGCTCCTCCTCGTATCCGTGAGGCCATTTGGTGTGACAGTACCAACTCCACAACAGAAGCGGGGGTTGAACTAAAAGACCCACGCATTCTGACCGATGCAGGGGATGTGCCCGTTCAGGAGCTTCGAGATTGTAATGTAGATGACGTGCTGTTGATGAAGACCATCAGCGATGCCGTGGCTGTCGTCATGCAGGAGAAGCCCCTGAGACCTCTGGTGCTGGGTGGGGACCACTCCATTTCCTATCCCTCGATCCGCGCTGTGACGGAAGTGCTTGGCGGACCTGTCGACATTTTGCACTTCGATGCTCATCCGGATCTATATGATGCCTTCGAGGGTAATAAATATTCGCATGCCAGCTCCTTCGCGCGCATTATGGAAGAGAAGAGGGCTCACCGCCTGCTTCAGGTCGGTATCCGTTCAATCAATAAGGAAGGTCGGGATCAAGCAGCTAGGTTCAATGTGGAGTTGTTCGAGATGCGTCATTACACGGAGCACCGGGCGTATCTGGAGAATCTTGAGCTGGGTAAGGACTGCAAGGGGGTTTACGTGTCTATTGACGTGGACGTTCTCGACCCGTCCTATGCACCCGGCGTGTCTCACCTGGAACCCGGAGGCTTGTCCTTCAGGGACGTCATGAATGTTCTGCAAAGCCTCAAGGGCGAGATTGTCGGAGGGGATGTCGTAGAGTTCAATCCGTAAGTATAATCTTTCCTTTTCTCCCCTTATTCCCTTTCTTGTGTGGGCGTGTGGTGTGTGTCTCTGTGTGTGTGTGTGAGTGTGTGTTGTCATGAGTGTGTGTCACAGTGTGTGTGTGTGTTGTCATTTTCGCTATGCACCCAAAAAAAAGCATGACAAAGCCAGACTGTTTCGTCGGACGTGTGTGTGTGTGTTAGAGAGGTGTGTGTGTGTGTGTGTGTGTGTGTGTGTGTGTGAGAGAGAGAGAGAGAGAGAGAGAGAGAGAGAGAGAGAG